GAAGTAAGCCTAAAAGCGTTTAACTAGAAATAGTATTTCGAAAGTTATTAAGCACAAAAGATGAATTGCGTTTATTTTGATACACCCTGTATATGTTATGCACATGCAGATTTAGCACAAAAATACTCCGTTGATCTGCAGGAAATTTTTGTCTCCAGATTGTGCTCCCAGGAAGAGAATTCTTTTTTCCTGCTTTCTTGATAACTGTGAATATTTATCATCCAGGATTTTGTCCATCTACACTCGACATAGCTGATTGTAGATGGGTGTGTTGAGTGAAATTTCAACCTCGTAACTAGAGCTCTCTGGCAATCCCTGGACGCCCTATCCCCAGCATTGATCCCATATTAGAGAGACAGCGAAGTACGTGGATTTGTGCAAGACAGCGAAGTACGAAGTCCCGTCTGCACATTATCGTGCGCGTCACTGAGTTTGAGGTTACTGGTGGTTGCTCAACGTGTAGATTCAACGCTGTAGATGCATGTGTCGCTGTTTATGAATGCTGGCCTTAATCCTTACCCAGATAAAACAGCACGAAGCTATGTTCTTCTGCCTTGACGAATTTTGCCAAAATGTTCTGAACGAAGGCAGAAAAACGAAGACTTGGATATGGATTTAGGGACCGGTCATTATTTATGCTGGGGGGTGGCACCGAAGAGAAATGTTTTTCGTGGCAAAAACTCTTGCTGACCCAACCATTAAAAAATCAAAAATTTGATTACCCAACCTCAGATATCATTTAAAAAATAAATACCCACCCCTGGCCAAAAACGTTACAAAAGGATGTCATTCAGTTGTCACACATGTCCTTTACCACTTTTGTGATACGTTTGATAACGTTCGGCTTGTGAAATTTACTGACTTTTCTGCAGTCTAAAGTTTCATGTTGTCTGCACATTTACTTTCCTTGGAGACACCATTTGTCTCCCAACAAATCGGAAAATGACCAAGATAGTGACTCTGATTGATTCACATATTGTATTGACAAATGACTGTTGATATTGAAGTTTTCAGTCTTCAATATTTGAGTGAGTTATGCTTTGGAAATGACAATAAATTTTTATTACCCAACCTTTGAGTTGTTTTGTTTTTCATTTACCCAACCTTTTGCTCACTCAAAATTTTGTTTACCCAACCCTTTTCTCTTCGGTGCCACCCCCCGCCATAAATAATGACCGCTCCCTTATGTCTCGCCCTTTTTGTGCGGGGAAAGGTTAGGGTAAGGATTAAGATCAGCATTCTTAAACAGCTGGACATGAATCTATAAGTAATCTTCATTGTGAAGAACCACCGCTGACCCCAAACTCAATATGCGCACGATAATGCGCAGACGGGCAAAACTTGACAGTACGCCTCAGTGAACTCTCTCTATATATATCTGAAGCGAGAACTTCAGTCATTCGGCCTATGAGTAAACTTCAGAAAATTGCAGCCAAGATGGCGGAATAGACCTTATGCATAATGACGTCACAAGGCTTGATACACGCGAGGAATGTTGGTCTTGGTAGTCATCGCCCGCGAAAATTTCGATAGTGGCCATTTTGAATTGTTTAATTTTCCCGGGCGATGACTACTAAGACCAGCATTCCTAGCGGGTATTAAGCCTTGTGACGTCGTGATGCATAAGGTCTATTGACGTCCAATAGCTCTCAAGGTTGTAAACAGTTTTAATACAATTTTCCCCATCTAATTCCAGTTTTTTCTTACGGACATTATTTATATTTAATTATCTTTATACATGGTATCCCTGTCAATTGACATCGATTTATGAACTGATAAACAAGTTATCAGTTCATAAAACAATAGTATTATAGGCCGTGGGCCGTTGGCCAAAATTATTTTACTTCGTGGCAACCCCTTGGAGAATAGATTTTCTGTGATTCAATGCGTAGTACCATGGATACTCGACTACCACAAAAAGTTCCCAAGCAAGAAACTTGCCAAACACCGAGAAAATGGGTGATCAGTGATTATCCCCTATGAAATTGTATTATAGCAAGAAAATGTGAAATTTTGTATTCAATTACAACAAAAATGACTTGCATCATCAGAAAGCTTACAAAAAACCGCATATAAGATATTCAAACAGTTTTTTGATCCTTCAAATAGTCTTTGAGTTATTGCTGTTTTAAATTTGAAAATTGGACCAAAATGTCGCAATAAGGACTGGGTACTAGGTCAAAAACGCGTTTTTGACAGCGTATAACTCGATTATACAGCGTATAACTACAATTATATAATATCAAATAATATAATAATCAAATAATATAATGATTTGACAGTGTATAACTACAATTTCATAGGGGATAATCACCGATCACCCATTTTCTCGGTATTTGGCAAGTTTTTTGCTTGGGAACTTTTTGTGGTAATTGAGCATCTATGGTACTGTGCAATGAACCACAGAAAATCTATTCCCCCCAGCGGGTTGCCACGAAATTGCTTTTCCAAGCACTTTTTCGCACAACGGTCCACGGCCTATTATTCTTTAAATCGAAGTCAAAATACGAAATTTCAGCACACTTCTGGCAGACCGCGCAGACAAAAACAATAGAAAAGGACTGAAACTTAAGGGCAGTAGCTCATCTTTGGCTCGAGTTCTCGCTCAAGGTAAATATGGAGGTCACTGGTACATCGTCGTAATTCGTTGTCTTGCTCAAACTCTGTGTTATCTCTTAATAGCAGAATTCCTCCGATCTCCGATGACGTTGGATTCCAATTCTGCCTTTCTAGGAAGACCTCTCTGCACCGTCTTCATCGACAAGCGATCCTTTTTCAGCTTTCAAGAATTTTGATTACACTACTGATCGAAACAGCCCGGAACGGAGCAAGCATACACCGCATTTAAAAGTAAACGGTTTATCAACAAGCGATCAAACTTTGAATGAAACTGGGGGATTATATAGTCAAACTATTAGTGCCCTATCAGACGATACCAAACAATTTTTACGAAATTCGAGAATCATGACGGAATCTTCAGAGAATGCGAAATTGCGAAATTCTAACCCGTCGCTTGACAGTGGCCTTTTGGACTCGCCTCGTCTACGGCGAAAACCGCTTGTGAAAAAATCGCAACCGGGGAAAAAGACCCTTAGGGAAATCGCCATGGATCAAAGGATTGGAAACGGTCACGTACCATTGGCGCATGCGTCGTCGGAGCCTTCGTTGTTCGCGGGCAATTTTGGGAACGAACTGCATAATAGTAAGTCGTCGTCGGATATTAACAGTAACTCTGATGCGAGTTCAAATGTTGACTTGTTAGCACAAGCGGGATTGGAGCAATCAAGAACAAATAGCCCCGATCCATTTTTAGAACTAATTTCACAAAGACACAAGCCACAGCAAAATGTAGGGCAGCGAAACGGGACTCCTTGGGTTGCAAAATTTGAGTGAATATCGATCTAAAGTATCTAATTATCTCTCTGCCTCTCTGGTAGAATTAATGAATGATGCTGATAGGTTTTACGGAATGCGGAAAGCGAGTCACAGACGACAAGTTTTATTTGCAACTTGCAAGTTTAAATCCAGCAAATTGTCTATGACAAGTTTCTTGTTTTTTTTTGACCGCCACAATAATTACTACAACAATATATCGGTGCGTGTTGCCAAATTTTCTTTGTTGACCCATACTGATGAGCAAAATTTGTACTTTGTGATTTTTTTCTATTTTCGAGTGTACTTGTTCAAAAGCTAGTATGTTGTCATAGAAAGGCAAACTTGCTTATACAAACGTACAAATCAAACTTGTCACATGAAAACTTCTTATAGAAAACTTCCTCGCCTGTAACCGGCTTAGCACCCTATACGAACCCTCTAATAAACATTATGTGTGCTATGTATTAGTTAGATTGCGATCCCGGCCGTGTTTTGGTATAGAGCACTGGTCAATTAAAGAGATTAGTTAGTTTGATAGGAATATGTAAATATTGAAATATTTGAAGTTAATGTTAAATTGTTAATTATTAATGTTAAATATACAGATATTTAGTGAATTTAGGAAAAGATGGAAACATTGTCTAAGTCTCGGGTGAAACTTTCGTATTTGTCCAGAGTATTTTTCCCTATCGAAGGGAAGATGGCTGTGAAACTCATTAGAATAACAATATAACTCATCTATGTTGGTCAACGTTTATTCATAAATCTGGTCCTTCACCGTCACGTGTGTAATGTATTCTTGCCCAACTAACCAATAGCAATGTTTTAGGAAAGTCACCTATCCGTGACTCGAACAATAGGGAAACTGGAAATTGCTATTGGTGGATTTGGTAAAAATACAAACACACGTGATAGTGAAACGACCAGATTCATGAATAAACGTTGACCAACATAGATAATGAGTTATATTTTATTGTAATGAGGGTTTCACAGCTATCTTCCCTTAGATAGGCTATGATCTGGTCAACCGATCACGTTTATCTCGCATCACACGTGTACTGTAAAACTTACGTACTTTGGTTTACATATCTCGCATTACACGTGTAAACACACACGTTGTTACCACACACTTGCAAAACAACTTTACTGTAACACTTTGCGAAATATTGGGGGCGTTAGGTTGCCAACATTTAACTCCTTTGTTTCTGCTTGGGTCTACACAGGTAAAAATCGCACAACTTGTCAACAGGCTTGTAGCAAGCTTGTCAACAAGTTGTAACAATGCTGTTATTTCATCAAGTTGCTACAAGGTTGTCACTCGCAACTTGTTGACAAATTGTTGAATTGCAGAACGATAACAAGTTGTTGAAAAAACTTGTAACAAATCTGTTGAGCTCAACAACCTTGTAGCAAGTTGTCAACTAGCCGTTGACAACTTGTCAACAAAGTGGGAACAAGCAGTGCGAACACATCCTGTTGACAAGTTGTTGGAACAGCGTTGTTACAAGTCTTGCGCGTTATTACGTGTGATCGCATTGCTATTTCACAGTTGTGGCAACTGAAAAGTCTTGAAAATCACCATGTTACAGGGTTGATAGTGGTAACAGAGTTGCTACAGGCTGTTCGTAACAAGTTGCTACGAGCTTATTGTCATCAACTTGTCACACTAAGTATTTCTAAATCAGTGCTTGTTACATGCAGACGATATCTGACAGAACAACTTGTTGCGAGACTGTTCGCCTCGTCAACCTTGTTACAACAACTTCTTCCAGGATTGCCTGACACATGTTGTCGACAAGCTGTGAGATTTTTGGCGTGTAATGTTTTTATTTGCGAGTGTCCATCCATAGGTGCCAGCGACGGTATTCTAGCCCACGCGAGACACGTGGAGATTTTTTTGTTCGAGAACCTTCGAACATGGCCGGAACTAATCCGGCGTGTAACGATCTGCTGTTTTAGCCAATAGAAACGCGTCGTTTCAGCATCGATAGATTTCCGAAGCTTGATGTCGCTATAAGACGCAAATGATTTGTTTATTACGGTTTCTAGCTCACATGTTGAAAGGAAAGCTTTGAAATTATGACTGTTATGGGCAAGCAAAACGAGCAACAAGCTGCAGGGATGGAAGAGGTTTACCGTGCTTTAATTGCAGTTAAAGAGAAGGCCTCGAATGGCGCCTTTAAAACGCTCGGAACGGGCTGCGCCGTGCGAACCGGGGACATTTTTGGCATACATTGGCGAAAGAAATTTCATCTTTTGATCTCATCTGCTTTGGTCGCGAAGGACACTTTGGAATCTCGCGAAAGTCGAGGCAAATACATCGGCGAATTTGAGAACGGAAGGCCGAAACTTGAGCTGGAGAAAGCGTCGAATACTTTCTTCAAAAAGGAACATAAAGATTTTCATTTTATCGCGATCGGTCGCGGCCGTTCTGGCAAGCTCGGTCATAACGTTCTGGAGATATGCCAGTTAGAGCGGGACGAAGTACTCCGTGGAAAGCTTGTGTGTTTTGTCACTGCCGTCTCGAACGAGAAATCGGGCACTCACGTATTCAAGTCGCACGAAATCGGGTACAATGCTCAATCGAAATGCTTCGAAACGACAGACGAACTCGGTCATGATGAATTTCCGCGGGGTGCACCGGTCTTAAACGAATATCAAGAAATCGTTGGAATTATAAGCGGGATAACCGATGGGAAAAAGCTCGAAATCTGTTTTGTAAGCGATTCGAAAGCAGGTTAGTTTATGTAGTATTTTGTAGCGCAGTGTGTTTAGTTTTTGCAGCGTCTGGTTTTAAAAAAGTAGATGGCAATAAGGTATCGAGTTTGCATAGGGAGTGGACTCGCTCGTTATAAATAATAAATTATTTTCTTGCGACGGCTGGCCATATATTTTCCCATTAGACCTCTCAAAATCATACATTATATATTACTACAATGTTTTTTTCAGGAATAG